TGTTTGGTGATAATATAGTTTTTAAAAATGACACAAAGCATCAGCACAATTATCTCCCTGGGGTGTTTTTTTTTTTCAAGCTGGAAGATGGAAGTGAGAGGGGAGGCAGCAACATCTGACTTGAGCTTGTACCTCAGTTCTAGATGACAAATTGGCCCTGTTGCAAATTCTTTTTTCCATAGTCTTTTGTCAGAAAGTTTATTGATAGCCAGAGTCTTACTAAATTCTTACTAAGTTCTGCCAGAGTGTGTTTGGAACATACTGCATTAAGCCAATATTTGTGTGTGGCATCTGCAGTGTTTGTCTCACACAGTGACTCCACAGTTGGGACAGCAGCAATGGGGTGGCTCATGAGAGAGTTTCCCATGTGGAAACCCTGGGGCAGATGTCTGGAAGGCTGAGGGTAATGCATCAAAACAACATTATTTCACAAATTATGGAGCGTATTGACATGTGAAATCAACAAATCATCTCTATTAAATGTCCAGTGCCCTTCTGAGAGCCAAAAAACCAAGGTTTTGCTGCCTTAAGCACCAAATCAGCTAGTTAACATGTTGCTTTCCAGGAATGAGTAATTCACTTTAGGTGCCAACCAGGTTTGGTTGCAATCAATCAAGGTATTTATTGCTTCCCCCTAAACTGAAGCTCTCTGTACATTTTTCTGACAAATCTGAATTACTTGTTCAATGTTATTTCTGAAAAGAAGAATCAATGAATGCCAGCAGTTCTCTTTAGTCCAAGTAATTTACTCTTCAGAATCTCTGCAATTTCTGGTTTTTAAGGTAGAATTTCTGGTATTTTAAGGTTCTTAAGGTATTGGAAAACAGGGGTAAAGAGGGGATACTGCTGAGAAACTGGCAGTAATGTGTTATCTTTACTCTCTGAGATGCTGGCCATGATGGGCTGATGAGCAAAACAAACTACCAAGTTACTGCTGAATGAGCCAGGGATGGGATGGCTTTCCAACAGAGCTCTGTAGGTCACACATCGATTGCATTGCCCAAATGTCCCACATTTCCATCTAAAGGCACCATGAGCTTAAGTGGATTTGGTCAAACCTCACGTTCAGGCCAAGTTTCCAAACCTGCAGCACGATTTTCACACTTCTTGGAGAAACCAGGGATACATTACCATTTGTTACAAGATGCTTTTTAACTCTGCTAAGCAATACCTCCTTGCATGTGTTGGTTCAGCACAGAAGCAGCATCTGGAGCTGTGCCTGGGCAGCTGTTTGGGGAGTCCCAGCTCCTGTTCAAGGAACGTGGCTGTCTCTTCTGTGCCTGCCTTTCAAATGCCACTGTTTGGTCTTCCTCTTCAGTCACCCAAGATTAGAAATTATTTTCTAAATGGGAAAATCTGTTTTAGGTCTTCTCTCCCAGTGCCTGAAACAATTCTCCAGGCTTCTGCTGCACAAATGAAAGGATAAAATTATGATCAGTAAGACTAATTTATTGTAGGTGGAAGTGCAGTTGACAGAGAAAAACAGCAATTTACATTTTCCAGAACGAAAGGGATTCCAGGAGGATGTTGTTTGCTTTCTTCAGTCTCTGATTTCCTACCAGCATTAGGGCTTCATGTCCATCAAATGCTAGTGAGATTTTAATGCTAATTTGCTGTCTCTTATATTTAGCTATTTCCAGCCATGGGTCTTCATAGAGCCAACCCTTTGGGTCCTTTTCACGACCCAAAGTCACCCTCAACCTTCAGAAATTTGGGGAAAACACTCCAAATGTCCCAAGCTGTGATACTGTTTTGACTTTCTGTATTACCTACACATGAGACCCATCCCTTTCATCAGACACTGCCTCTGGTCTGAGCTGTTTCCATGGAAAGCTTCCTGTGTTTATTTGAAACTCCAGAGAGTGCCAGTAAATTTCCTGGAGGCTGCTTGGTACGACTGTGAGGTGGCAGCATGGTCTGCTGGTGAGGAGGAGGAGCAGCTCTGAAGATGTGTTTTCCTTTCTGCCATGCTGCTGAGGAACCTGGAACCAGAGACTGCATCTTTCCATAGCTGCACTCCCCTCACATACTGCACCTCTAGGATTTGTTGTCTGCTTTTTGGGCTTTAGCTGGCAGTTCCTTGTGGGGTTTGTACAGGACCTGGCACGCTGGGATCCCTGTCTCACTTGGTTTCTTTTAGGCATTGCTGTAATATAAACCAGCTGCACTAATATTTTAGCTGTAGGGAGAAATGTACTGGTTTGATGTGTGCTGTGTAGAAGAAAGAGAAAGCTACTGCCCCTAGCCCAAAAATGTGAGTAGCATAGCAAATATGTTAGTGATCTCCCAGAAATGTTAAATGAGATGGATTCTGCCACTGCCTTCATTGCACTGTGGGCTTTTAAGAGATTCTCGTGTCTCAGTGAAGCTTCAGACTGATGTGCTGAGGAGAGCTGGTGAACCCTGAAAATAAGGCTGAGTCCTGGTGATGAGTTTTACAGCAAGATTTTTCAAGGGGGGCATGTTAGGAAAGGAGAGGATAAATGGTCTGAAAGATCTGTAAGAGCCAAAGCACTGGAGCTTCATGGCAGGGCTTTGTAGAAAGGCCAGAGAGATGATGGAAAAGGGTAAATAACCTGCAGAATCAAAAGATTGGTGCAGTGTGGGTTACAGCAGCCCTGGCAGGGAGGGAGCAGCAGTCTCCAGGTGTGAAAGGCTTTCCTCACACAGGGATCCTGCTGCTGTGGATCCCTGCACTGCAGCTGGAATGGTGCTGGCAGCCAGGATGAGGAGCTGGGAGCTCTGCCTGGCCTTGAAAGGGAGACAGGGCCAGGGCCCTTCCCAGCTGGTCAGAAGCACCAGCAGCTGCCCAAGGGAAACTGAGATCCACAGCTGACACTGGAGCATCCTCCTAGCAGCCAGAGTAAGCCCTGTTGCAAACTTTGGAGCTGAATCTCTTCCCTAAATAGACAAACACAAGAGTGAGGAGTGCCCTGACCTGTCTGGAGGAGTCCTGGAGTGTAAATAGCAGGAGAAGGTAACGAGCTGGCAAAAGCAGGTTTGTAAATGCCAGTGTGTGCTGGGGAAAATACATCTAATGAGCTGGTGTTGCAGCTGTCTTCCTTCTCCCTCTGTTTGATATCTCCAACATGCTGCTTGTGTCCTTCAGGTCTCACCTGAATTTCTTTTGATCAAGGCTGATGGTGGGATAATTTCTTCTTTTGGTCTGAATTGCTTGATTGGCAATTAAGGGAGATTTGTCTCAGCCTGGCTGTGGAAATGGGGTCACAAAGCCCTGTTGCTGTGGGGCTGCAGGGCAGTGCTGCCCTCCCAGGTGTTCCTGAGCTCACTGAAGTGAGGCTTGGGCAGTAGGAGAACGTGCATCACCTGCTCAGTGTGTGGCCAAGGCTTGGGAGACCACATAGTCCTGACTGTGGGGACTGCAAACACCTGGGAAGGGGACCTGAGGTTTCCATGCCTGACTCTTCCCAGCTCCCTGGAGGGAGCTCTTGGACCAGGGCAGACCTCTGGGAGTTCCTCCCACCCCTTCATGGCCTGGGACATACTCATGTGGCCTCCTTCCTCTGTAACTCACACTTACCCTGTGGAACAGTGACTCTCTCCTAGCAGATGCACAGCTGTGGTCAAACTGATTTCTCAGAGTAGTTATGAGGAGCCACCACACCCCTCTTTTTTATCTCTGGGAAGAAAATCCCAGAAGAGCATCTTTGACCACAATGGTAGATAGAAGCTGTTATTCTGTGAAAGCCCACAGATTTGTCCATGCTCTCCAGCACTTTTCCAGCAACCAGAGATGCTGGAAGATTCTCACATGTCCTGCCCTGCCATGGCCCAGTTATGGAGCTGCTGTCCTTGAATTTGTCCAACCCATTTTTGATGCTGTTGTGTGTCTGTTGCCAGGCTCTGGGGCAGTGAGTTTCAGCAGTTCACTGCCTGATGAAGAGCTTCACATTATGAGAATAGAGAGTATTTTCAATAAATGATATTTGGGAGTGGGATATTCTGGGGTCTCTTACCACCAATGACCAGCAGTGCAGGATGAAGTCACTCAGTCTCTGCTCTGGTTTGCATGGGAAAAAACCCCACATAAAGCTCTATCACATCTTTAATGGAAATGAAATGATAAAATTGGGATAATACCTACCTCATGCTGCTCTTGAGGGTTAATTAATGTTTACAAAATCACTTTAGGTCCCGAGATTTAATTGGAGGAAAAATATTACCATATAAAATAGCTTTTTATGCAGGCACTGCTATAGGGTTTCAGCTGGGCAGAGTGCCGTGGCAGCCAGCGTTAGCACATGTTTTACTACATTTATGGTTGTGAGGCTTCCTGTAGTTTATATGAAAATTGTCTCTCTGAAATCACAAATGAAACATCAGTGTTTTCCTCTCGCTTTGAAAGAATATTAATTTGCCATCTTAGGGCTTGACTGACTATTTAAGCTGCTGTAAATACAATTCTCCTTTGAGAAAAAAGGAATGGAGTATCTGTTCCCTTGCTTGGGATGAGCTGATACAACTTGCCAATGACTCCACCTTTGGATGCCATGGATGTTGCTGGCTCATATGAGCAATAAATCAGGCTGGCACTGGGTGTCCTGCTGTAGTTTAAGGGTGTGTTTGGGTGTTCATTATAATCTCCTGCTATCAAGAGATTTTAAATACAGCTATAAAACTTCATTTCTGGAGTTAAATCTGACTGTGGAAGTATCAGCCAGGGGATGAGTTCTGTTATAAGTGGGGTGTTTCGGTGGGCTTTTTCTGGTTTGGTTATTTTTTGTTTGTTTGTTGTTTCTTTGCCTTGTTTCAACCTTTGTTTCAGGGGCTTTTTAAAGATGGAATAGCAAGAGAAGGAGAAACAACACTGGGCTTGGCTGCCTTCAACTATTGTACTAAAACCTTGTCACTGCATAAATGTCACCTTACTTCTGCTGTAACATTTTTTTATTTCACCGAGTGACACAGGCCGGGTGAGCTTGGAGGTTGGATCAGTTACTCAATGTGCTTTTGGTTTTGTTTTTTTTCCTGCCCCCCAGGGTGACTACGACCCCAGCAGAACCAAAGTTGTCCATTTCAGCATGAACCCCATGAGTTTGGCCAAGCAGCAGCGCAAGGAGGAGCAGCAGCAGCTGCAGGAGGAGTGCGAGCGGCTGCGGGAGCTCGTGCGGGTGCTCAAAGGAGGCGGCTCCGTCTCTGGGAGTCTGGAGGGAGTTGGGGCTTTTCAGTCCCCACAAGAAGTTGCAGGTAGGCTGCTGGCTTCTGCTCCTGGGGATGCATTTATTCTGAATCCGTGTTGCCAGAGGAACTGAGTGCAGGAGCAGATGGAGGCATTGCAGACAGTGTGCTTGATGGAGTGGTTATATGGAAAATGTAAAAAGCTGGGTTGATGCAGGAGAAGAGGGGATGTGAGGTGGCAATCCTGTGGCAGTGTGGTAGAGGGTAGGTGGTAAGGCTAAATAATAATAATTCATATCATTTGCTCGTGATGAATGAAATACCAATACAACAGCCTTCATTGGCTGGTGCTGCCAACAGAGTGAAAGGAAATATTTCCTTCCTTTCAGGGCTGGTTTAGCCCTTGAGGTAGTACAGACAGCAGGAAATAACTTTCATAGCTGCAGGGAAGCAAGTGGTTGAAATCTTTTCAGACCTGGCTTAAAACAAATTAATATTGTTTATCAGTGTATATGTGCCCCATTAATCACAGCTACATTCAATACTCCATGAAAGCAGAGTACATCTTTCACTGAGCTAAATACGTTTCACAGAATCTGTGGCACTCCAGTACAGTCTGTCTTCCTTTCACATACCTGAGTGAGACTTTTTAGTACAGCAACCCCAAAAATCAGCACCTTCAGACATGCTCTCAGACTCTGAAAATCAAGGTAAGGATATCAATAAAGCCTAAGCCATCACCTATAACACTGTGAGGGACCAGGCAGAACCAAGTTATGCTGAAAAGCCCTGGAGAAGTTCCTGCTGTAATTCTCTCATGGCCTCAAAACAATTTGTTAGAGAAGAGAAAAATAAAAGAGAACTGAAGGTCTGTGTGGAGCAAACCTGGTGTGTCCCAATGCATGTACTTGGTCAACGTCTGGAGGTCAGGATCCTCCCTCAGATGAGACTGAAAGAGCAGGGCTTTTCCCAAAGGTCACAAGTGCTGGAGGCTTCAGACCCACAAAAGGGCAGAGCCCTGGTTTAAAGAAAATCCACAGAAGAAAACATTTCTCTCTGTTATGAAACAGAAATTCTCAGAAAGTAGCTTGTCTGTGTTCCCATCGCTCAAACAATGACACTTTATTACTGCTGAGATTGTGTTTGTTCCAGCATCTCATACTGGATTGTGGTACTATATAGCCTTAAAAATATGATGGTGAGAAGTGCAGATGGGGTGGTTTATAAAGTGAAGAGCTCACTGCATGTTACAAGTAAGTGACAGTTCTGTCACTCCTGTTAGTGGCTGCTCTAACAGATGCATAAGCATGAAACACTTGGCAAACATTTAAAAAAAAACCATTGTCTGTAGGAGCTTCCAGTCTCAGACCCTCAGTGGGCAGTTCCTGGGGACAGCTCTTGCATTGCAATTTGAATTTGAAATGCACTGTGTTTTAGGTGTTTGAATTGCAGCAGATGCAGCTGCCCAGTGCCCTTGTCTGTCCTTATGCCCCGAGTGCCAGGCACATCTGATGCTGCAGGTCCAGGGGCTGCAGTGCCCAGGGAGGGCAGGGGCAGAGAGGCTGCAGAGCTGGGGTCAGCCCCGTGCCTCTGTCACTGCTGGATGAACCTCTGGGGTATCATCTGCAGTAATTAGACCAGCTCTTCTGGGGAAATGTGCTCCTCACGTGTGCCTCCTGTCATGTGTTAGAATTATTATTCTGCTGCCTTTCTGTGCAGCTGCTTTTAGCTGTTTGTGAGGTGCCTCTGTGCTGGGATGTTACCAGGTTTGTCGTTAGCTCACAAAGGATGCATTTTTAAAGCTGTTTTCTCTCCTGCCTTTGATTCCAACAGGAAAACAAACAGCTCTCTGGGTTTTAGGGTATTTCCAGCCTCATGTATGTGATGCTTTTTTTTTTTGCCTTTTACCCCAGTCCCAAGCTACATCATTCTGACTTCTGGTAACCAGCTCAGATGGAAGAGAGCAGCAGGTTCAGAACTTAGAAGGGTGGGAAGTACTTCAGTGTCATTTACCAAAGTCACAGGAGGGCCCTTTGGATTCTCAGAGTGCCTATAAGTGCATCTGGAAGTGATTCTTGTAAACAAAATGGGAAAAAGCTGTTGAAGGCTGGAGCAGCCCTGTGGATGACTCTCTTTGAGGACAGGGTGAAGGTATAGGAAGCCAGGTTGTGTGGAGACATCTTGGGCATTTTTCCTTGTAGTTCATGTGCTTATGTGCATCACTGTCATGCACAGGGCACATTGCCATGAATGCACCTAAATCTCATTTCTGCTGTGGGAGCATTCAGCAGCATAGTCAGATGCAAATGTTGGGATGTGAAGAGATGCTGAGGATGTTACAGTGCTGACCACAAGGTTACTGGGTTATTCTCAGCTGGCTTTAATTTAGCAAGGTGAATGCCAGATTTGGCCTCCTTGCTGGAGCAGGGAGAGCTTCCAGTGGCTTGGGGGCAGCTGATCAAGTGTGCTGTGCAGGCTGCATCCATTTCTGCACTGACTCCATCCTGCATCCACAGCGTGGATACAGCAGCTGTTCAGCAGTGGCTCAACAACATGGATTCGTGTGGCCAGAAAATCACACTGTCTCCTTCTGGATAAGACATGGAAGATCCAGCTTTTGCTTTTTCTTAGCTCTGCCCACAGGAACAGCTGCCACATGCCTTCTGCTTCAGTGTATTTTCAAGGTGTGAAGTGGGGAGCGTGTGGCAGAAACTCCCTCTGCTTTGTTTGTCACTGTCCAATTGGCTACCCCAGGGAGGGAGGTTTGTTGTGCATGATAAGGGAGCGAATTTCTTTGAGCTTTGTGAAGCTGTTTCTGTACAAAAATAACAAGAATTGGAGTTTTTCTTGCACCCCTCTCTGTCAGCTGCAGTCCCCATCTGTTTATCTTGCTCATTCATGTGATACACACAGGAGGCAAATTCACTTCTCTGAGCTTTTGAGGTGGGAGGTCCCCGGTGTCAGAGCAGAATGGGGTGAAGAGAGAGCAAGGACAGAGTAGGAAGAGTGTGGATAAAAGCTGGGAGGACAGCAGAGGTCATATGTAAGTTTGCATTTTGCCTTTAGACAGATAGAGGTAACTGTAAGATTTTATTGTCCTGTTTTGCCATATAACCTGACTGGCTGCTTGGCAAGGTGAGGGATTTGGGTGGCCTCCAGCCAGCCAGGTTTGATGCATCCAGCAAGCTTATGTGGTATGCAACAGCTCTGCTTATGGTTCACAGAATTATAATTATACCAACCAAAAAAAGGCATTAAGGACAATGATGTTGATGGTTTTGATAATAATGTGTTGGCCATTGTTAAATCCCTTCATTGGACTGGAGTGCAGCACATTTCTTCTGATTGCATTTCCGACTCCTGCGTAGGTAATAAGAAAATTATTACTGTGGACGTTAAAGCTCATTAAATGTGACTCTATTAAAAATCAAGGTTATGCTGGACTTTAAATCTCTTTGAGCATAACTGCTGGAGGCTGCAGCACAGCCTGGCAACTTGCCACATGGTTCAGTGGCCCTTTCCTCTCATTTATGCCATAATAGTCTCTGTTCAGATGGGGACCTATGGAGAGCTATAACAACATCCTGTCCTTTTCCAAAATACAGATTGGCAGAGCAGGGTGTTGGGGTGTTGGGGAGCAGGGCTGTGGGTGCTGTGCTCGGGGTGGGAGCTCTGTGAGTGTTGTGCTCCTCTGCTGGGTTGTGTAAGAGCAGGGAGCACCAAGGTCAGGCAGCCATCTGGGGAGAGGCTCGAGTCCTCCTGCCTCAGAAACAGGGATGCAGATTGTGACAGCCTTGGAAAGGTGGCACAGGGCATTGCTGCACAGATCTGAAATCTGTTCCAATTCTGCATTTCCCTTTCCCATGCTCTTCACACCTTTCCTCCAGTGCCCCTTCTGTATTTCAGTCTGCATCTTCTACTTTTTTTCTTCCATCTCATAGCTTTTCCTATTTTTTCCCCATTTCTCTCCAGACCATTTTTGTTTAGATCTTTCTTTTGCCCTGTGGGGTCTTGATAGACCTCTTGAAGATGGATTTGGGTCTTAGTTGCAAGCAAGTATGTAGGTGGCAGCTAATAGGGAGCTGGAGAAGTAATAACTTGTAACAAAGCATAGGTAGAAATGAGAGAGAATGGTTCAGGTGCTTCTTATCTCCATTTGTGTTTTTATCTTAAAGGTAATGTATCTGAAGGTAGGAATGGATGATCCATGGAAGCTGGTTCCTGACTAAAAGAATGCAGTAATGCAAATTTTCCATGAGCTCTCATGATTTATTGCTATCCCATAGCTACACCAGAGTGCTCCTTTCTTCATGCAGCTTCTCCCTGTGAGAAAGAGGAAAAGTGCTTTTAATATTCTTTCTGGTGAGAGAGAGGCTGGCACCCCTACCAGGAAGGAAGATGGGGAAATCAACTCTGATTTCAACCATCTGTGGAGAACTTTGGAACTATTTTCCTAAGCATAATCCCATCAAAAAGAAAAGCTGTTCATCCATCTCAATGGTTTCAGTGTCCTTTTCCCCTTGATAGGGAAAAAGTGGGAAAAGGGGGAAATCTCACTCTGAGGCAGGTGTTTGGCCCTAACACAGATGCTACACCTGGCATTCAGCAGGGGCTGTCCCCAGCATCACAGCCATGCCAGGGCCTTGTAAAATCTATTTAATTGGATTTAAATTGGGTAATGAATTAATATTAAAATAATCTAATCTTGTTGAAGTGACAAGCCAGAGACGGTAAAATTTGTCACTGTCCCACTGTGCCTGTGCTTCTGATGAATGTGTTTCTGAGTACAGAAGGTGACAAAAAAGGAGCAGATGGAATTTAGAAGTTGCTGTTCTCCATCCACAGTTGTCTGAGCTGTTGGTGCTTGGAAGCCTTGGTGCTTCCTGCCATCTGTGTAGGGAATCCACACATGATGAGGGCTGCACCTGTGAATGAGAACCAAGTCCACCTGATGGAGGATCCTTCCCTGACCTCAGCTGCTGGTGGGTGCACATGTGGCTCTGCAGCCTCCATTCCTCACTTTGTGCCAGGGCTCTCAGCATCCCACTGGTCAAATGGGCTTGGGCCAG